GAATAGAATAGAATAGAATAGAATAGAATAGAATAGAATAGAATAGAATAGAATAGAATAGAATACTTTATTGGCCAAGTGTGATTGGACACACAAGGAATTTGTCTTGGTGCAAATACTCTCAGTGTACATAAAAGAAAAGATACATTAGTCAAGAATCATAAGGTACAACACTTAATGATAGTCATAGGGTACAATAAGCAATCAAATCATACTAGGAAACAGTCAATATAAATCGTAAGGATACAAGCGACAAAGTTACAGTCCTACTATCACAAGTGGGAGGGGATGGGTGATAATTGTGACTATTTTTCACACTTACGATCTTTACATCATACCCAGGGTCACATGGTTAATATTTGGATGCTTAGCAGCTGATTCACATTTATGACAGTTGCAATGCCCCGGAGTCATGTGATCCCCTTTTGCGACCTTCTGACAAGCAAAGTCAATGGGGAAAACAGATTCACTTAACAACCATGTTACTAATTTAAGAACTGCAGTGATTCACTTAACAAATGTGGCGAGAAAAGTAAAATGGAGCAAACTCACTTAACGCATTTCTCACTTAGCAACATAAATTTTGGGCTCAATTGTTGTAAGTCGAGGAGTACCTGTATATGATTACAGAGGTTTTAAATAACAAGTCTCACTAATAGTGTACATTTACCCCAAAAGAAGATAAATGGAAAAAGGAGTACAGAAATATAACTCATTTGCTCCCCTACGGTAATAATATTCTCAGAAAATCCTCTCCCTGCACTGTGATTGCTCCTGAAAAAAGCCCCTGGCTTTGTGTCTCTTCAATAAATGCAGTGAGAGAGAGGGATCCGGGGTTCTTTTTCATGCTGCAATTCTAATTGAGAAAAAATTTCCCTAAATGATAAATTTTAAAGAATCAAATCGGGCAGATTATTTAAATCTAGCATGTTGTTTGAACTTCATTCAGTTATCAGCCTGAGGTTCATCCAAAGCAGTTTTCATACCTATTTCTGATGCTGGAAATTTTAGGGCATCAGTCCAATATAATTTCAGCTATGCAGTATTGAGCTGTGTGTGTCCTTGGTGCTCTCTGAACTGGCCTTGTTTTCCTGAATAGATTTCATTACTTAAACTAGGTAACATCGTTAGAGCTATCACTGATGATGTTACTTAGTTTGGTAATGAGATGTATGTGAAAAAAAAAACCCACAACCAAGCTTGGAGAGCATCAAAGACCTCACAGTTCAACCCTGAGCTACAGATATTCTCTTCTGTCAGTATTGAGGTGCTGGCTATCATTTGAAAATGATTGGGAAAGGAATAGTATAAGTCCAGTGACGATGATCAGGGATCTAGGGTTGTTATGGGTAAACAAACCCTCCATATATTTTTTTAGTAGCGTGCTGTGAATAATAAGCCCTCAGGCATGATTGTATAACTGTCATAAGCACTTGGCTGATTCTTGCCAGTGACAGGTGACTTGTGCAAAACTTGATAGAGCAGCCTTCCCCAACCTGCTTCCCTCCAGAAGTATTGAAACCTCAGTAGTAACTTCCGGAAGCGTCAGCTCTAGGACCAACCAGAAAACCTGATGGTTTTACAAGCACAGCTTTCCTTGGTTTATCACGTACTTATGGAAGTTCCATTTGGCTATGGTTGCTGAACGCCATTATGGCACATCTGTTGTCCTCATCAAATCCTACCTGTCAATGAATACTTCAGCTTCAACCATAACAACACAAGAGCACACAATAGATACAAACTCAAAGTAAACCGCACCAAACTTGATTGCAGGAAATACGACTTCAGCAATAGAGTGGTCAATGTCTGGAATACTCTACCCGACTCTGTAGTTTCTTCCCCAAACCCCAAAAACTTTAACCTTAGACTGTCTACTATTGACCTCACTCCTTTCCTAAGAGGTCTGTAGGGGGCGTGCATAAGCGCACCAACGTGCCTACCGTCCCTGTCCTATTGTTTCTCTTATTCTTCTTTTATTTTTCTTATATGTACCCATTTCATGTATTCACAACTATGTATACATTTATACTTATTATCTTGTAAACAATTGGCAAATCAAATCAAATAAATAAAATAAATAAATAAATTAATAAATAAATTAATTCGTTTTAAAACAACTTGACTTTGTGGCTACCAAGAAATTCAATAATTTCATCATCACATGTTTGCATTTTCAGTTTAAGCCCATGGGAGAATTACACCTTTGCCGTTGTTCATAATGAAATATGAGAATCCTCCACGTCCCAGTCCGAAGTAAGAGAAGACAGGGCTTCTATGTTGAAGTTTAAGGGAGCATAAGCCCCAGGGTTGCCTATCACTTAGTGTTTGAATGGGGACGGTCAGACTGATTTATCTGCCTTTCCTCCTCTTAGGAAAACATCTCCTTCTGGGTGGGCCTGACGCGCCGGACTTTTGCTGGACTGTGCATAGCTATACTGGCTTATTTTATTTGGACCTACAAGGACCCAGCCAAACAGAACCAAGAGGTGCTGCAGAGTCTGCAGGAAACTCGGAAAGAGATTCAGCAACTTTTACAAGAAACTGGTAATGAAAAGAGAAGCAGTGTTTTGGTTGTGGGCTTGAGGGGGAAGAAATAGCTTGGCTTTGCCTAAGGAACACTCGGCGTGTCAGATCTTTTGATGGAAGATGCACAGAGATGGGAACTGGTGCTTTGCCCATCTCCAGGTTGGGGATGCTAATCAAGGGGAAGGTCTACAGGAAGGAAGGCAGTTGGCTGAAAACAGGGAAAGGTTTGTGCATGTGCGAGTATTCCAGGCGGTTCCTCTCGTTCCATTTCAAAGGACTTGTGCAACATGTATGAATGCTTCATTCCTTCTTAGAAAGGAACAATAGGAGATTTGAGAGCTGGGTTGCCTAATGATTGCTAGCTAGCATCTCCCTTGTTCTTTTGCCTTAGCAGAAGAGCATGCGAGTGCTTAGGGGAATGACATAGGTGCCTCTGTATTCATTACAAGTAAATGAGACATGGAGTTGCTAAAGACGAGGTAGTGAGAAAATCCCCAGGCTTCAGCCTGCACTCTAGAGCAGGGGGTCTCCAACCTTGGCAACTTTAAGACTTGTGGACTTGTGGAGTTGAAGTCCACAAGTCTTAAGGTTGCCAAGGTTGGAGACCCCCTGCTCTAGTATTCCGGACCTAAATAAAAATATTAATACATGATGTAACACTCTTACTACAATATAATCTTGTCTGGCCATGGTGTAGAATGCAAGCATATCAGACTTCTAGATCTTGACAGGTTCTAACCAGCATGTGCTGCCTGTTTTTTCCCCCCAGAGAGGCTGTTGGCTAAACCGGAGCTTCTGTTTCAAAGTACCAAGCCTGGAACAGACAAGGAGGTGTCGACTGACATGGGGGTCTCAAAGCTGCTGTTCTGTTCAGAGAAGAGAGCTGAAACAGAACCAAAAGAATATTGGGCTGAATACCAGAGAAGTGAGTGCCATCTTGGTGGAGGAATGGGAAAGCAGCAGGTAGAATTGGGGTCATTTAGTGGCTAAAGGGCAGGTCCTGGAGAAAGGGAAGCGCTATGTCAAATATTCCTTCTGTGAAACTCCATTGGATGGTTCTGCCTAGATCTCTCATTTCCTGACCTACCTTAAACCAAATGGTCATCATGCAGAAATCTGGTTTTGAAGGAACAGCAAAGCTCAAGAGAACTAAACTCAGTGCCTTGTCAATATGCATCTCTTAACAAGTGCTTTACGGAACTTTGTTGTAATCCCTTCTCCAGCAGACTGTGAAAACCAAGGCTGGGCTGTAAAACAGCTGAACTACAAAAACAACCTGCAGGTCATTGGTAAGTGGGCATTAAATGCTGTTTGTAGGCTTTTAGGTTATTCACAGCTCTGCGAAGAATCTATTGAGAACCAGTGTAATAAACACTGGGCTAGAAAGCAGAAGAATCTATTGAGAACCAGTGCAATAAACACTGGGCTAGAAAGCAGAGGGCTGTGAGTTCTAGTCCCACCTTAGGCACAAAGCCTCTGGGAGACCTTGAGCCAGCCACTCTTTCAGCCTAGGACCCAAGCAATGGCAATCACTTCTGAAATCTTGCCAGGAAAACTCAGGAACCTCTCCAGGCAGTTGTCAGGAGCCAATGAATAAAAATGAATGAAGCTACAATGGTGTAAAGAAATCCCTTTTGGAATCCCTTTTGGGTTCAGTTAGTAAGGTACTGAGTATATTGGTTGGGTCTGCCAGGGGTAATCCAATAGCACACGGAAGACCATGGACTCCTTGTATGTAGATAATATCAAGGCCAATCAATGCAGTGTTTGTGTATGTTCCCCATTCTGATCAGCAGGAATTGTTCCTTTTCACTAGCAACAGCCTTCTAGTGAAACTTCCCAGTCTGGGAGGTTTGTTTGGGCAGATGAGAAGAAATGCAGGCAACTGATAACAGATTTGGTTATTCAGAATTTTTTTTTTCCTTAGGAGACCATTAAGGTATACTAACACGAATCCGTCTTCAACATTCTCAGTCATTCTCATGTGTGAAATCAGTGTTTAAGCAAATGTGCTTGCGTAGGTCTGGCTTCCAAAGGCTGCTATAGTCTCATAGAAAGGGACCTTGCACTCATTCCTAACAGCCTCTTTGAAAGTCATTCAACGCAGCGTTTTTCTTCTATCAGATGAGATACAGACTAGCAGCCCCAGGCAGAGAGGATGGCCATCTTCCCAGGCTCATCGTGCATTGTCTCGCCAGCATAGGCAATCCCAAAATGTGGCTCCTCGGCTGCTGACAATCTCTATACCAGTGGATGGGGTGAGTTAAAGCCAAGTGTCACACCATGTCATTTGGTGAATAAATTGTTCTACGGAAGAAAACCATGCTGCTGGTAGGGGAATCTGGTAGCCTAATGTGCATGGAGGGCACTCAGTTATGATTATTCAAGAGATCTGGCTATAGATATGCCATGATACAGCCCGCGATGTGATCGGATTGGATACCCCTGCCCTAAAGCGTATGGTAGGTAAATGCCCTCATGTTGCTAGGGCCGATTCCCAAGCTGTGCATTGGAGTGGGGGATGTTAAGCTAAAAGTAGGGAGACGTGATTTAGAAGCATTTAACATTGCAGAGGAAAGAGTTAGTTGCCAAGAATTCACTGTGACCAAGGTGTTAAGCAGGGCTGAAATCTGCCGTGTTCCAGTTCGCTGATTTAAATTTGTGTACTGAATTATGGAGGATAGTGGGGGGGCGTGGGGGGGTGTCTTCCATTCTGACTTAACTACACTACTAAAGCAGGATGTAATGAAGCATACAGGATGGCAGCACCCTTCTCAAGTTTTGGGAACTTTATTCCAGTCTTTGGTTCACTTTTGCATTTCAGCAGATTATTGCATTTTCTATAAATTTGCACCTTTTATGTTTTGCATCCTTCTCGGACTCTTACGGCATGCATTTAGCCTACTTACTTTCTGCTACCACACTGCAAAATTCAGTAGTTTACTCATGGTTGCTTACCTTTCAAATCCTGGATTGAATTGATAGCAAACGCTGTGCGTGTGTGTCACAATATATTTGCATAATTGTGTTTCTGATTAAAGACTTTGGGGAGGAATTTCTTTTTTACAAAAATTGGCCCAAGAAACAGCCTGACTGGTGGGAAAGGATTTACCGCATTGCTGTAGATCTGGGACCATCTCATGCATATTTGAGAAATAGCTTGTATATTAGAAATGTTAAGAGTCCCTGCTCTAATTACATGGCTTTTGATCATGTAACAGCAAAAAGGAAACAGTGCTGAGAGTTCACAAACTTTTCATGTTGTGCTATTATTCTGCAGCAGAAACGCTTCTCTCAAAGTTTTTTCCTGAGTCTCTCTGAAGAAATACCGTGTTTCTCATATAATAAGGCCGGGTCTTATTTTTTTTTGAGCCCCGAAAAAATGGCTAGGTTGTCTTTTCGGGGTGACTTAATTCCCCCCCCCTTGCATCTTCGGGCGGGTGGGCGGCGACGGCTTGGATGTTGACCTCGGCGTTGGTGGGGCACTTTGTATTGGGGTCAATGCAGGCAGCACCATATCTGGGTGTGCAACAAGAGTACTTCCTAACGGCAAGCCCCCCCGCCATTCCCCATGTTTTAATATAGGCCTTAATTTGGGGGGAGGGGCTTAATTTCATTTCATGCCTATAAAACATGCTGGGACTTCCTATTGGGGGAGGCCGTATTGTTGGAGAAACAGGGTACAATCTTCCATTCTTTTAAAAAGCGCACTGCATTATACACAAAAGTCTTCTTCCAGCACAGGGCAATTGTTTCTTACCTGACAGTCAATGAATAGCCCAAGGACCAAGTCCCCAGATAAATAACTAATATTTATTTATATAGCCACCCATCTTGCATTTGTAACTCTGGGCAGCTTACAATTAAATTAATAATAAAGCAGGCCTGTGGATATTCTCTGTATCTGAGGAACCTTGGTTCTCCGATGTGATGGGTCTGTGCCATTCACTGCGGCAGAAGAGGCCTAGTCAAGAAGTTTCGGCTAATGGGGAAAGTGAGAACAGTGGCTCCTGCATTGTGGAAGACTTTGCCTCCAGAAGTGAGACCTACCTCCACACTCCTGGCCTTCTGGAAGTGCCTTAAAATTTGGCATGCTTTGCTATAAGTGGTTAATTGAGCGAGAGACAAAAGCTCATCCCCCCTATCATCCATGCTTTTGGTATTAATCTTTTATTTAACTGTTAACACTTTTTAATGCTTTTGTATTTATGCCTTTACATAGTTGTAGCCACCGTCTGGATAGTGTGACGGGAAGCTATCAACTTAATAAATATCATGTTTGTCTTGCCTATTACAGACTCCGCGGTACAACCTTCGGAGCCGTCAGTCTCTACAAGACCCAGGCTCTTTCACAAGCTGATAGGCCTGAGCCCCAGATGTCTGCAAAGAAGAGCCAAAGTAGTATAAATAACTTCACTGTGCACTGATGCAGCCAAAGGAAGCGGCATCTCTTTTGGCAAGGTTTTGGACAACAATCATACTTCTTTGAGAAAGACAGTTATCAATCTGGGACATGATTCCCTTATTTGATTTTCTGAGAGTATCCCCAAAATTTTAAAAATACTAAAGAACCTGAGCAGGCAAGAGTTGAGCTGAATATTATGCCTGGGTTTGATATGGCCTGCCTCATATTCTTAAATCTAGCTACTTTTGATTTTCAGTCCCTGGTTGGCAAGAAAATAGATCAATAGACAGACACGGGTACAAAGTGTTTTTTAAATTAATTTTAATTAACTGTAGAATTTTTCCCCATACATGATTTGGCTCAGTAACCTCTTCCTTTTTGCAACTCTGACTAGAACTGAAGTATCCCCCTGAGTCACTGTTCTCAAGAATGGCATTCCTGTATACTCTTTTAGATGAGCCAAACTCTACGTCTGTTTTTACCTCTGTTCAATCAAATTTGGCACTGGAGATCAAGTTGGAACGACTTTCTTTTCTGTCAGTCTGTTATAATTATTAAGAGCCAAATCTGAGACAATGTTGATACAATTGCACCCTTATTTTAACAGTCTGATTTTAACCCCTTCAATAAACTTTCTTGGCAAAATAGCTCATTAGTTCTTCATAGGCCTGCAGAGGCCCGTTCCACAATGAGGCGTGGGGGTATGATGGGAACTGCTTTGCATCCTTTCTCCTAGGGGTGCCATGTTGGAACAGCTTTCCTGAGGTAGATCAATAGCAGCCCAGTATCCAATTTTCCTCAGTCATCCTTCAAGCTGAAATTCATGGCTGCTGTCAGGCTTGCAGATAGTTTGGTTGCAATTTTGTCTGTGGAAAAATGAGGGGCAAAATGGGATTAGAATCTAAACTGTTTTTTGCAAGAACCCAGTTTTTTAAATATGCAAGTAAGAGGTAAGTCCTGTTGGGCTTTTTGTGTTCATACATTTTAAAAGAACACAAAAAGCCCACTGTAGTTAGGTATATACGAGGAGAAATCACTCTTGAATTAAACAACCCTTTCTGCTTTTTAAAACAGTTGGGCAACATTCTTTTATTTCAGTATTTTATTATTAGGCTTAGCTCCCTTATGATTACTGACTTTCATAAAAAACGAGAGCAGGAAAACAACAATCAGTAATTTCAGATGGCAATGTTTATGAACCATTCCTTTTTTAAAGAGAAAGAAATTAATGAACCAAGGGGATGTTTCCCTGAACATGATTTCCTTATGTTTTCTGTGAGGAGAAAAGAGGGTATTGGGGAAATCATGATCCACTGTCAATCCTTCAAGGTAGACCAGACTAAGGAACCAATGCCACATAAATTAATACGGTACTACTTTTAATGTAACAAAATCTGGCAAATCTGAGTAAGTTTCCTCCTCCCTCCCTTTATTTTTGTTTAAATTAGGGGGGGTGTGTGTGCCTGTCTCAGACATCTACTCAAGTTATTTTTTGTCTGACCGCTGCCTTGTTAGCAGCTCCTCCTCCATTCCCTCCTCCCTCCACACCCAAGTATGGTCATTAAGCTACACAACCCCAAGAGGGGCACAGTATCATCACACTGGCAAGCTGATGCCAAGAAATGACTAAAACAAAAACCCCTCACATGAAATCACAATGGGGGTTAAGTAGAAAAGCAGCTTTTCCCCACCTGCTCGCTTCTGACGCTTTCTACGTTTCTTGCTTGCCGCCCGGAGGCCTTGCCCTTGGTACAGAGGGTGCAAGGCCGAGATCTCCCCTAAATTAGGTGCTCTGGGCACTGCTTTGGCTGCTTCTGTTAGAGTCTTGTTCTTGGACTTCAGCTCTATAGTCATTGGGCCAAGCTAGAGGGAAGAAGAAGAAGGAGGCGGCCTCCTTGGTTAGGAATGGGTACTCAAAATGCACTTATTTATACAGCTGCCCTCTTGATAGTGAAAGAGTGGTAAATTTGTATTAACTTTTGTCAGTGACCAGCATAGAAAAAAAGGAAATTCTATTGGATCAAATGTATTAATACTGCATGTCTATACAAAATAAGGAGATACAGCAGTGCAAACCATCAGAGCTAAAATTCTTTAGTTGTATGTAACTCTAGAAGGAGAAGTTAAGTATTCAACTTGTCATAAAATTTGACAATGAATACATAAATCATCCTGCTCTCTTTGAACAAATGACTCAGGTTATTAAGACAACTGTAAAATGTTATAAACATAAGGCATAAAGCAAATAGCACTAGAAACAATTCAACAACCCAAACAGGTTCACAAATTCTCCCAATCCAGTGCCTGGGGCAAAAACAAAAACAAAACAAAAAACGGGTCTTTAATGCTTTGCGAAAGCAAGAATTCTCTATTCTGTTAACTATCAATGCTCGTCTCAATTTATGTGAGGACTAAGACTCACTATTACTCTTTCAATTTGCCCCTATCTTGCCAAAAGGATAGACCATGAACAACCAAGGCTGGGGTACGTACCTCATCACCCTCATCTTCTTCCATCTTACTCTCTTCCTCTTCTGTAATATGCAGCCCTTCTTCCTCAGCCATTTCAGTTTCTGCCCCACTGGTTAGGCCCGAACCCTCCAAGGAGATACCCACAGGACCAGAGTTTAAGTCTATCCAAAAACAACAACAACAACTCCATCATTCAGAGTTGTTAAATTATAGTCAGTCTTGAGTGGAAAGAGGCTTAAAGCAAGGAGCAGAATTCAATCACACTACACATACTAGGCCAGCTGAATGAACAAATCCATCCTGAGTCATAAATCATAGTTAACATAGTTTACAGGGAAACTAACATTCCAGCCAAGTATAATTTATTCAACAAACTTTAGTTGTGTAAGTTATGCTTAACTTATGGGACCACGGATATAGGACAAGGGGAAAAGAAATGAAAACTATATCCTATTGGATTTGGTGGAAGACTCTATGTTCAATTATACCTATTCTAACAGATCAAAGAAAAAGAGGAGGAAGAGGAGGAGGAAGGTTGTAGAGAATTGAGAAATGCATATCAGTTTCACCCACTAGATACAGCATCAAAATTGATAGAAAAGATAGAGGCATATGGAAAGGTGTCTGGTTTGAAAATAAATAAAGATAAAACAAAGATCTTGACAAAGAATATGCTATTAAGACAAAAGGAAGAACTGGCGGATCTATTGAAAATTCAGGTCACGAATAAGATCAAGTACTTGGGGATACACTTGACAGCAAGATATAGTACACTAAAAGAGAATAATTATATCAAACTTAAGCAGCAGATAGCACAAGATTTGGCGAAATGGGAAAATTTACAACTGTCATTAATAGGGAGAATATCAACAATCAAGATGAATATATTACCCAGAATTTTATATTTGTTTCAAACAATTCCAATTAGGCTTGGAAAAGACTACTTTGAAGATTTAAATAAAATTGTGTTGAAATATATATGGCAAGGTAAGAAAGCGAGAATAAAGTTAAAACTTTTGCAAGATGCTAGAATAAGAGGAGGATTTGGTTTGCCTAATTGGGAGTTGTATTACCAAGCTACAAATTTGATGTGGGTTAAGGAATGGATAATATTAAGAAATACTAGGTTGTTGACATTAGAAGGACATGATCTGTTGTTGGGGTGGCATGCTTTTCTATAAAGGAACTAAAACACAGAGGTATTTTAGAAGACATTATATACGGGAGTCTCTGTGGTTAAACTGGGAGAAGACTAAAAGACAATGTTATTTGAAAATTCCAGTCTGGCTATCGACTATTGAAGCATTTTCTTATCCCATAATATATAAAAAGGAACAAAGAGTTAGATATGGCAAAATATTGAATGAAAAGGGTGAACTTAAATCTATGCAAAAATTAGAGGAACAAGGTATAAAGATGAATTGGTTTTCATATGCGCAAATACATTCAAGGTATGATAAAGATTTTAAAACAAGGTTTCTATAATAAACTGACTGATTTAGATAAGATTTTGACAGGTACCGATGAAAAGGTGATTAAAAAATTGTATGGATATTTATTAGAAATTAAACTAGAAGAAGAACAAGTTAAAGAAACAATGAAATCTGAAAAATGTTGGAAATGTCATTAGACACCTGGCTCATATTACCAATATGTGGTGGACTTGTGCGGATGCTAAAAAATATTTGACTAAAATCCACACGTGGTTGGAAAAAATGACAAAAAAGCATATAGACTTGAAACCAGAGATATTTTTATTGGGAATTTTACCTGAAATATATAGTAAAGAATTGAAATACCTGATTGTAAATGTATTAACAGTGGCTAGGATTGTATTTGCCAAAAACTGGAAAAATGAGAAAATACCATTACAGGAGGAAATCATTAAGAAAATATTGGAATGTGCTGAAATGAGTAGATTGACGTTTGAAATCAGAGAACAAGATGATAAACAATTTTATAAAATTTGGGATCTATTCTATCAATGGTTAGACAATAAAACATGGTAATGAAATATGTAGATTCTTAGAAAATAATAAATATATAAAGATGTATTTTCTTGTTATATCTACAAAATGATTGTAGGATAGATTTGAGATGATAATATGAACTGTCATAAAACAAAAAGTAAAATATGGATTATTTCATAAAACATGAATGAATAAAAGTATAGTCAAATGATTAACAATGATATTAATGTATTTAATATTTGATTGAAAATATGAGAATATATATAATGTAATTGTAATTGAAGACTACGAAATGGAAGCACAAAACAATTTGTAAACCAACCGACACACTGTATGTATATATATGGAAGATGGCTTGATGTTTTTATGTTTTGTTTGTCTATGTTTGTCTTAAAAACCAATAAAAATAAAAAAATAAAAAATAAATGCATAACAGCTTTTACAAAAGGGAGGCAGAAATGATGGGGAAAAAATAGCTGCTTGAAGAGGATCCTGGTAACCAATATGTAAGAATACCTCACACCCTGCAGCTTTTTATAATTATACTACTGCAGCATTATTACATAATGGACAGATACTCTGTGCTCTTGAAAGAGTGTGGAGAATTATGCTGAATTGCAGAATAGACATATCTGGGACCATCGGAAGCCACAGAATGTTCTCCATTTTTGTCAGCCTTTTGCAGAAGGGATGACATGTACTGTAGTGTAAAAACAGCCGTAGGGCTGGATATCAAAACTCCTGTCGGTCAAAGGAAAGAGAGACAAAACAAGAATTGTATGGTGGCAAAATCTTGTGGAAAGCAGTCCCATTTTCCCAAGCACTTACTAGCCAAAGCCTTCTCATTCTCCTGCTCCAGTGCCTCAAAATCAAAGGCTTTGCCCATCTCTGTCACAATCTCAGCACTGATGTGAGTAGGAAGTGTGTGTGTCTCGGGTGGATGTGTGAAATAGCTGATTTTTCCACTAGAAAAAACAAAGTACAATATTTA